TACCATTTAGTTTATGTTTTAGGTTAGTTTTTTGTTTCTTTTTAGTTTTGAATTTGTTAGTCCTTGAGTTTAATTAGAACACTAGCCCATTGTCTAGGTTTATTTGCGTCTTTGTAGATTAACAGTCAATTTTGCTTTTAGTTTTTGAGTCAATATTGAGTTTGTGAAACTCTTGAGTAGTTCTTACTATTGAATAAAAGTAGTGTCTTGTGTCTTGTTCTCATGTTTTTTTAGCTTTAATTTAAATTCATTGCATTTACTTGACTCTTATTTTTAGTTTAACATTTAAAATAATTTAACAATAACCTTTTTACTACTCTATATTTAACTATTTTTTTAAATTTAATTTAACTATAGCTAAACCTAAATTTTTGTTTAACTTCTGTAGACATTAACTATAATGAAAATTTTTAGTTAATAAAATTGTCAAGTGCCCTATGTTGTTCAAAACATGATTTGCAGATAGTTTATTCTTTGAATTGCTTTATTTGGGATAACTATCCACTTTCAGGATTCAGAGGTATTTAAATATAATTGTGAACAATGGACATGAATAGTTGTTATACTTTTAGGTGCATATGTTTGACAGCTACATAAAGCTTTGGAGATCGAAGGAAAAACAGAAAGTGAGGAAAGATGGAGGCTAAGATAATATCCCAATTCATAATTCTCTCTGAGCAACAACATATATTTCATGCACTAATAGAAGAAAACAGAGAAGTAGGCCCATCTTCACAACACCAAACCAGAGATTTTTTTCGTGAAGTCAGAAGCCAGAGCAGAATAAACAACAGAGTTCAGCTTAAGGAACTACTACACTTTAAGGTGCAAGGAGCTGAAAATCAGACATTGAGATGAGAATATGATTCTGGTTGGATATCTTTAGTTGCTACCAAAGTAGCTGCTACAGGTGCCTATGCTTCACCAGGAAAAAATAGCACGCAGTAACAAAGCAAGGTTAAAAGCAAAATAAGAGGAGCAAAGGCTTGACCAAAACAGAAGGGAAATTGCTGCATTTGCTGTACATTTCAGGTAAGTATACTGAGCCCACAATCATTTTGAGTAGGAACTCAATTTATAATGCTTAATGTAATGAGGGGATTCTCTCTTTAAATGATTTACAACACCCGTGAGCGATTTATTTCTAGGCTTGGTTCAAAAAAAAAACAAATAAATAAATCTTACCGATTGCTTTTCCGTGGTACCTATTGAGTAATAATTGGATCAATTGGTAATTTTTAATGTTGGCTCATAAATTCATTGCTGGTTGTTATTACTGAAGCTTGTAGCCTAGTTCATACTTACAATTCTAGAAGTTACAATTCATGCTCAAGGAATTTATTTTGCATTGATTAACTTATTTGGCTGATTAGAATTAAGTATGAATTGGGCTGACACAAGTTTGAGCTCATATTTTGTGCTTAAGTGAAGAATTGAGCATGACCCTACCTTTCCTGACTTGGTCTACACTGCTAGCTAGAAATAGGAAAATAAAAATATTTTTTATAAATTTCTTCTCAAATAAAATTTTAAGTGTACGAGTTAAATCAGGTAATGGCCAAACCTGTTTTCAACTCTATTTTATAGAAGAAGCTATCATTTCCTTTGCTAAATATCAGGGTGTTCATACTTCTGGATGAATTGAGAAAAATTTGCACATTTTATACACTAAAGCTACAGAGTGTAATTATGAATTTTTGTTTAGAGTTAAAAATCACATTTTCTAACCTCATTTGTGTTAAAGCAGGATTTTCATATTTGAAAAATAAAAAGATTTGCTCAGTACAAAAAAAAACATGGAAAATTTAATGAAACTAATGTTCGCATCTTGGATAGCAAAGTAAAAAAAAAAAACTGGGGTTAGTTGAAGTGTTGAAAATTTCCCATTGGTTAGCATTCCTCTACATTTTTTTCCTTCTTATACTCAGTGCTAGATAATTCAGTATGCTCTAAATAAGAAGTGGAATGTGATTTGGAAATTAGAGCTTAAAATTGATTTCCTTGGTTTTGTTTCTCCGTCTTCATTTGCTCTCAAGAATTTGAAATCCTAGCATTCTGCCTAAATTCTGAATTTGTGTTTCAAAGTTACATTATTATATGAAAAGAAAAACCTCTCAAGTTTTTCAAAATGGCAGTCCAATCATTGAACTCAAATATGGAAAAAAACAGTTTCCATTTCATGTTAGGCATCTTATTGAACAGTTTCCATTTCAAAAGAGTTTTAGCAATTTGAAACAGTTTTATCAAACTTGGTCTCAAATTGTATATGACAGCATAAACAAATCACTGAACGAAAAAAAATAGGTTTAG